CTGTGGTTTAGGCAACGAGTGGAAAAGGGTAGGAAGCCTTCAAGATCTACTGGGATCAGGATGCTAAGTTTCAAAAAGATATTTCATTTAGGGGCTGAATAATAGGTTGTTATTTTCAATGAAAATAAACTAAGGTGTTGAGAAATCCAGCATCTTTCCTGCTGAATAGAACCACTTGATGCATTAATACTTTTTGTGATATCCAAAATGATTACTTTGAGCAAGAAATCACGAAAAGAAACAATGACCAAACAGAAACGTGAGCCGTAGGAACACTTCTCCAATCAGAGTTCCTGTTTCTATATTATATGTCAAATGAACCCTGATCATTCCACAGGTCTCTAGGTCAGAAGAACCTGGTCCATGTGGTTTTGCTCACAATGCTGACAAACATTCACACTTCATTGAACTAGATGTGTTTGCAATATGTTAAATATCTTAGCTACGCTTGCGTTTCATAGAGTATTCCCAGAAACATTGGTGATTTATGTCTTGGGGGATTGTAGTTATGAGAAATGACACGGTATAGTGGATAGCAAGCTCACCTTGAAGCCAGAAGGACCTGTGTTCCTACTAACCTCTGACACATATAGGCTGTGTGACCCTGGATAAAGGCATATAACCTCTCCATGCTCTAAGCAACTTTCTGAGACTATCAATGGCAGATGGCAACCTGCCTTGGTAAAGGGATAATACTCACCTGTGAGTTCTCTATACAGCAATGAAATCCCTGGTCCAGTCCCAGGACCTGTATTTAAGCTGCAGTTATCAGCTCCTTTTCTTGCGTCAGCTTTAGAGCATCTAAGTTATTGTCTTAAAGTATCTGTCATTCCTAATAGAATGTAAGCTCTTGAGGAAAGGGGCTGTTTTAGTTTTATCTTTGCACCTAGCATGGTACCTGGAACATAGTAGGTGTTCTAAGATATCGCTATCACTTATTAGCATCAGATCTCATCCTTCACTAACATTCTCCTCCACTGAATCATCAGGGTGTAGAGGTGAATCTAATCTCAAAAAATTCAGCTTTCTGAATTCAAATCTCACCTCAGACATTTACTAGCTGTGTGACCCTGGGCAAGTCACTTAACCCTGTTTGCTTCAGTTTCTCCATCTGTAAAATGAGCTGGAGAAGGAAATGGGAAACCACTCCAGTATTTCTGCCAACAAAACCCCAATTGGGGTCACAAAGAGTTAGACACGACTGACAAATGACTAAACAATGAGAAAGAATAGATAGGTGACATTGGCTAGAACCTGCATAGGTGTAAGGGTAAGACTCGAAGCTAAGACAAGAGACAGTATTCAACAGAACAGCTCTCTTTAAGAATAAGGGACAATCACATCCATTGGGCTAAGATAGCATCCTCATTTCCTACAGGAATATGCACTGCCCTGGTCCTCTTAGGTGACCACAGAAGACAATATATGCCTCTGCAGGTATTATAACATTGCTCGACTAAAGGATCAATGAATCCTAGATCAGAACTAGTCCAACCCCACCATTTCACAGGTGAGGATACTAAGGCTAAAGGGTGCCAGGGGACCTCCCAAAGGTCACAATGTTCATGTCACAGGAAGGCTCTCTGACTCCAGAGCCAATGCCTTTTCTACTACATCAAACTGCAAGTGAAAACAATTGGGGGAGTAGATCACTCTATTATTCCAAAAGCTAACACAACAGAACAAGACTCAAAAGCCCTAAATTATTAAAATGGAGAAGTTCAGGAAGGTTGCAGTAGCTCTTCAATAGCATTATTAAAAGGAGATTTAAGAAATTATTTTTATAGAGCAAATCCAAGAAAATACTCATGGAGGCAGCAAGGGGACATGGGAGATTCACTGCTGTTCTCTGGAGTCAGCAGGACCCAAGTGCAAACCCTGCCTCAGACACTTAAGACCTGTATGAGTGAGTCACTTGCTCTCTTGGCTTCAATTTCCATCTGTTAAATGGGAACAATAATAGCACCTACCTTAATTGTGAGGGTCAAATTAGCTAGCATGTGTAAAGTACTTTGCAAAGTTCAAAGTTCTATATAAATGCCTGCTATTTATGTAGATACGTATAAAAGAGCATATTCTTTGATTTCTATTATATCAAAATATTAACTTTTAAGCACAGCTGTGGTTTTTTTTTAAGAAAAACCCATTCCCTCCCTCTCCCCCCTCAATACAGAACCAAAATGTATATTCCATACCAATAATAACATGAGTAATACTGGTGAAAACAATGGCTCCAATGTTCTTACTGCAGGATAAAAGTTCCCTAACCACATATGGCATGTGGAAACGTGAGGTGAATTACACGTTTCAAAGATCCTCAATTGCTCCCCGGTGCCAGTGTGTTTTAGACCACACCCCGCTAGCTTTCTCTTCACGAGAGCCAGGGATGCTGGGAAAATGCCTTGTGAGTAGCATTGAAAATGGTTTTGTGGAAAAGAGATAGAGAAAAAATCCTGTAGATGAAGATACCACTGCAGTAGAAAGGAGTCAGGTGAATGGCCAGGCACTTCTTCCAGGGACTATTTTCAAGTTTGACTAAGGATTAAAGGTTTAATTTCTCTGGGATCCACCACTACCAGAATTCAAAAGAAGAACAGATTAGGAAAGGAAAACAGAGAAAGAAGGAGGAGAGAAGCAGGCAAAAACATCAGCATTACATTAGGAAAAGAAATTTAATAAAAAAAGAAGTTTCCTAGAAAATGATAAATTGGCTGTTGAAACTGATTTTTAAACAGCCTAAAACTGGACAAAGTAAATCTGTGATTCCCAAATTCGGTTTTGTGACATTCCAGGGTTGCCAAAGCATTTAAGCGGATGGAATGAGAGTCTCAAAACGAATTAGAATTATTGCTCAGTTATATTCTAAAAATAAACCATGCCATATAGGGCCCTACCCAGGTAATGGTCAAAATGCTAAGCTATCAAGAAATGGGGAGTTGGCTTCAACCTCCAAGAGAGCTGGAAATCAGCTCAAGAAATGGCTGACCTCTCAACAGTATTTCTGCATCTAAGATTCACCAATCCGGATTAGACAGTGGAATGAAAATAAGAGCCCCAGGTCACCTGGGCTCTTTGAGCACAAAAGGAGGTTGAGAAGGAAGTAAGCTAAGGAGCTCTTCTCTGGCTTTGCTGTCCCATCACTTAACTCTTACATTGCTTTGGACATGGTCTTTCAGCATCTTCTTCTTGACTGCACAGAGATTGGGTTTAGTATATAGTTTGGTATAGAAAGGGTACTGAGACCTGGATTTAAATCCTGGCTCCAAGGTCTGCTAGCTATACAGCCTCGGGTAAAGTCACTCAACCTCTCTCAGCCTCAATTTCTTCATCCAAGAAATGGGTATAATAGAACCAAACTTGCTACACCAGCTGTCTCACTGTGTTGTGGTAAGGAAAAGCACTTTGTAAATCTTAAAACCCTACAGAAATTGGAACAGGAGTTATTATACTGTAAAATGCTTTCAGCTTTCCTGAAAAGTGGGGGGCTATTATCTAGAGAAATGGAGTGTCTTAGTGTAGTTTTTAAGCTTTCTTAAGCTAAGACTTTTCTTTTCTTTTCTCTTTCTTTTTTTAGGCAATTGGGGTTAAGTGACTTGCCCAGGGTCACACAGCTAGTAAGCGTCAAGTGTTTGGTCTGAGGCCGGATTTGAATTCCGGTCCTCCTGACTTCAGGGTCAATGCTCTATCCACTGCGCCACCTTGCTGTCCCTAAGCTAAGACTTTTGGAACACCATGAATAATAGTTTGGGATTATCCATTTTTACTGCTGCTATAGAACAGCTATAGTGACAAAGAATATTAATATTATTAATAACAACAGTCAGAGGCAATACAATATAGAAGACAGAGAACCAGCCTCCAACTCAAGGAGAGCCAGGTTCAAGTCTCAACTCTGACACATATGGGCTATATGATTGGGCAAGCAACTTAACTCTCCATACCACAGGAAACTCTCCTAATACTTCTTTATATCAGGCAGTTAAATGCTGGGGAACATTTTATTTAAGAAAGATCAGAGCTGGCAACCCCTTATTTGGTGAACCTTCTGTCATTTGCAAAATGGCTACAGAGATGCATTGGTAGAAGATATTTCTTCACTGGGGTACCTTATGTCAATTAAATCACTACACAAATTGGTTGGGACAAATATGAACAACTGTCATCTACATAGTTCTTTTAAGGTTTGCAAAGTGCTTTACAAAAAATTCCCATGTCTTTCCCCTTATGCACTGTGTCAAGCCCCATCTGAAAAAAAAAAGATCGTAGTTTTTTTTTTAATAAAGGAGGAAAATTTGACATTTCCCCTAGTTTTAAAATCACTTAATGGAGACTCAGGGGAGGAAGGGAAGTCCCTCTTCCCACAGTGTTTCCTGGCACTACTACGGAAGGGAGAATAACAGAAAAGGCATGTGGGTGCTGGGAGAAGACAGAATGGCAGAAAGGGAGTGTGGCAGCAGTAGTTAGTTTTGTCGTGTAAAAAGAGATGCCTATCTAATTGGTTTGTTGTATTGGGTTGGGGTGTGTGAGCTGGGGGGCCCTCACTTTCTAAACACTGGTGATGCTTCATCAGAGGAAGAAAACCCCTGATGTCAGAAACTCTCAGTTAAAAACACTCTAGATTAGTTCAGTGCAGACAAACATTGGTCTGAGGGAAAGAGCCAACCCACCAGTCCAGATTGGTGATCTCTACAGCTGCAGAAACATTGTTTTTTTCAATTCCTGAAAAAGAAGTCAGAAACAGTTGTTAACAAAACAGTTCCACAGCTCTGAATTCTCAATCAAAGAGCTGAGCCTGGAAGAGCATCTGAGTATCGACTGATATTAGACATTACGGTTCTTGAGGGTAGTTAGGTGTCTTTTACCTCTCTTTGCATCTCCAGCCCTGGCACACAGTAGGTGCTTAATAAATGCTTACTGATTGACAGTGGCTAAATTACTGAAAGATAAGTGTGTATGCAGAAAAATAAATACACACACACTCCAATACATATATTTCTTACCGTGGTGAATTAAATCCACTGTCCACAGTGATGCTGCTACTGTCCATGCTGTCCAGCCGGGCAGAATGTGTTGCCCTCTGGCTGCTGCTGCTATCATTTTCCTTTGGGGCAAGGAGAGTGAGGTTCTTTTCGAATTTTCTCTGTAGGTCTCTTTCTTTTTCCCGCTCTAGCAGCCACTGCATGGTCCCCACATCGTCCCTATTCTTCTCCTCCTCCGTGTTCTTGTGTGCCCCTTCCTCAGAATCGTCATCATCAGAGACATTGTAATAGTCAAAGGAAGCTTCCTGGTTTCCACCGGCTTCCTGCTGTCGTTGGGAAAGGGGCATGGCTTGGCCGACGGAGGCTGCCAGGGACTGTTCCAAGATCTCGCAGCGGCCTGGCAAAGCATCAGGAGATGACTGTGGGTGAGCTTTCAGGAGGGACACGGTTGGCTTGTGATAACTGTTCATGGACAGGGCGCTATGGAGCGGTTTGAAGAGCGTGTCTTTGCTGAATATCTTATCTAGGCTGATAGACTCTGTGCCATGATGGGGGATCAGTCGTCCATTGGCAATGGGGTCCGTGACTGGGCCAGAAATTGCTTCCAAGCCTCCCCTTGGCCCTTTGGGGACTCCTCTTTGTGCACCACAGGTTCTCTGGTGGGGTGCTGGGGCTGCCTCTCAGAAGAGGTCAGCTTTTTCATCCCATCAGTCAAGGTCAGAGTATCAGGATCATCTTTGCTCTTTCCCAAAGGTGATGGAGCAGTGAGGACCGTCTCGCTGGAGGTGTTACATTGAAAATAGTCATCCATGGAAGCTTGGTTGGACAGGCATTGAGTTCATTATAGGATGGCAAACTCTCTAGAGGTTTGCTTTGCTCCGAAAGGCTACAAGAACTGGGGGGGTCAATGCTGCCACTGACAACTTCAGGTATACACACCTCTTTATAGTTTGTGGATGCAATGTAAGCCCTTTGGTGACTGACAGTCTGTGCAGGTCTTAAAGTACTATCGTCAGTATAAGATTGGCTGAGCGTTGGATCATCTTGGCTACAAGCTTCAGCCATGTCTTCGGTCATCCCTAAGGAAGCAGCACCAAGAGGGCCTTTGGAATTATCCATTGACCTGGATCTCTCCTTGGCTTTATTGGACCTTTCATTCCTGGACCTTCGATCCTGGGTATGGCTGTGACTTCGATGGACCTTCGAGTGAGAACTTCCCCGGGAAGGCTCAGGAAAAGGCATCTCAGTCCTCCTCTTGGCCAGTTCTCCAGACACATCCCATTCCGGGGTCATGGGAAAGTGAGGCTCAATCATGTTAGGGTGGCTGTGCGTGATGAAATGATCCCCTTTGTGTTCAACAATGAAGCAGCCTTCCCGTGGTGACCGAGTCACGGGATCGTTCAGGTCATAGTCTCTGTCTGCCGTGATATCAAGATGAGAACCCTCTGAAGGATCCCCTCCTTTGGACCCCCGTGTCTTGCTATGGGAACGAGCTTTGCCGTGGGTCTTCCGATGGTTCCTGTTCTTCTTACTCCTCCCGCTGTGGTGGGCGGATGACCCCGTTTTGCTCCTCTGAGCTTTTTCTTCATCAAGTTTCTTCATTAGTGCAGTATGCCTCATGACATTTTCTACGGTCAGATCTGGGTTAATGCGTCTGATAATCTCCATTTCCACCTCTCTGGGGATTGTAGTGGGTGTCTCCTCGTCTCTCAGAGGCCATTCCTCTGGGGGAAACTGTGCAGAAAAATTAGTTAGTTGTTTTGTCTTGTCTTTCTTAAAACTTAGCCTAAACAACTTCAGCCCAAATTTTTTGGACTGTTTTTCACTGTCTTTAGGTTTTGAAAGCGTTTCTGTCTTATAAGAAAAATTTACAGTACTTTTACTTTTTTCAGTGGGTGGCAACTGGCATAGTGAAGGGGGGCAGTCCTTGGTGGCTTTCCTCTGCAGCGTAGATGCATGCATGCTGTGCATGTCTTCTCTACAACAATGACAAGAGTCGCAGTGGTTTTTGGGTAATGTTCTGTCCCTGACACAGCCCGAGGTGGAGGGTGTGATGGTTCCTGGCTGTGGAGAGGTACACTGAGTCCTGTCAGGTATCCTCTCATCCAAATGATACCATTTACTATTAGTTCTTATGAGGGAGGGAGTAATAAAATAAGTCTGTGGGGTCACAATAAAATAGCCATCTGGAGTGGGGTAGATTTTCCTCTCACGAACCAGCATGCTCAGCGTGTGCCGGAGGATTTCTTGGCTTGGAGTTGGAACACCTGAAACCAAAGCAATGCACAGGTGAGAACTGACCAGCCACCCCTGGCCCTTCCTCAATAGCCTCCTACTAACATCCATCCCTCCCTTCCTCCTCACAAATGTGTCTTGCAAATAGAGGAAACATGTTAAAGAGAAGCCTCTACATATCAATTGAATAGAACAGGTTGAAAAATTAAGCCAAAAGTGACTATCAAGCATGCTAATGAATATTTTTAAAGTGCTATAGGTATCCATAACAACATTGCTCATTACAAAATGCCAAATAAGAAACGTGTTACAGTATGATTATGATGCCAATGTTTACCCATCAGGAGGCAATTGGGGCATTTTTCCAGTGGGGGAAAACTTAGCATATATTATACATTGTATAGACAATATACAAGAAATGAAAATGTGGTTCTAGATTTTAAAGGTATACACACACACACACACACACACACACAAAATCATACAGAATGTTAGATCTAGGAAAGGACCTTAAGGATCATCTTGTCTCATACCCCCTCCTCTCATCACTCATCAGCATTGGATTCACTTCTCCCAATTCTTGGTTCCATGGTCTTTCTGGCTATACCACATTGCCTTTACCATCCTTACCATCTTTAAGAATTATGGTAAGGAATCCTCCCCCCCCCACCCCCGCCCCATACTTACCACTGAAGCATTGTGACTAGAGCCTCCCAGAGCAGTAGTGTCAAACTTGCATAGAAATAGGGGCCACTAAATAGTATATAAGTATTCCTGCTAGCCAAATACTGACTAGGAAAACCACATATTAGCATTATTTATGTTGTACCATATTTTTATTTATTTTGTTAAATATTTCCCAATTATTTTTTAATCTGATTGGAGCTGCACTCAGGAGTGTTGTAGGGCTTGTAATTTGGAACCTCTGTCCATGTAAAATAAATATTAACTAAACATCTACTATATGCAAAGCACTACTGACCACAACAGAATTGCAAAAGTATGCATATGATTATATCATCAGACCTAGCATCTGGTAGTTACTAAGTAGATCTGAGTGCTCAGAGAAATTTTCATTCTTGACACACACTGCTGATGAGTAAAAATGCCTAATGGAGGCTCTGACCATGTCATTCCCTTGCTCAAAGACCTTCAATGGTGTCTCATTTTTTCAGCCTATCTTTCCTATCTTATTGCTTTTAAAAATCTCTCACATACCCTGTAGCCCAGGCCAATAAGAATATTTGCAATTTTTTTTGCATACTACCTGGCTTTCTAATCTCTGCATCTTTGCTCATTTTGTATCCTAATCTAGGACGCCCTCTTTCCAAGTTTCTTTTCCCCTAGAATTAATTTCATTTTCCCCCAATTTTCCTCTCTTCATGTTCCCCCTCCCCCTGTTAAGCAATAAGAAAAAATGAAACCCTCATAAATAAATACACACAGTCACGTCAAAATTCCTATTGACTACGTATGAAAAAAGTATGTCTCATTTTGCATTTTAACTTCGTCATCTCTCTGGCAAGAGGTAAAGAACATGCTTCATCATTTGTCCTATGGAACTGAGGTTTGTCACTACATTAAACACAGTACTCAAGTCTTTCAAAATGGCTTTTCTTCATAATGTTGCTGTCATTGTATAAATTGTTCATCTAGTACTGTTCACTTTCCTCTGCTTAAATCCATAGAAGCTTTTCCAATATCCCCTAGAACTCCACATTTTGCCATTTTTAAGGCTTAATGATAATGTTCCATTACATTCATATGCCAAAGTCTGTTTAGCCATTCCCTAAGAAGAGAGCATTGCCTTAAGTCTCCAGGGGTTTTTGCTATTATAAAAAGAGTTGCTATAGACATTTTTGTGCATAAGGGTCCTTTTCCTCTTTTGTTGATCTCTTTCAGGGGTTTATGTCTAGTACTGTTATTACTGAGTCATAGCATCTGCCTAGTCTGGTGTCTTTGGTGGGGGAGAGATCTAATTCCAAGTGGCTGGATCAATATAGAGCTCCACCAACAGTGCTTCTGGCACAGTCTGAGTCAAAGAACTTTGTTTCAGCTCAAAACCAAAGATAATTTATTGAAACAGAGGTGACATAACATAGAACACACACACAACAGAGCCAATCTCTGCGACATAAGCAATTTAAGGAGTTTATCATTTTGACTCTTTATCCCCAGTACCTAGACCTGAGCCTGGAAAATAGGGTGAACTTAATACATTGCTTTTTGAATTGAACTAAATCCCAATTTGATTATAATTCTCTATTTTCATATTTTATCTAGTTGCACGCCTTGGGATTTCAACGCAATTTCGTCTTTCCCTAGCACTTCTATGAAATGTTAAATAAAAAAAGATTGGGGACAGTCAGGAGAAGGACTTTCCAGATGTGTACAATGGGAAAAGTATAACAAGCATAAAATTAGATATACATCATAGCTACTATATTTTATTAAAAATTAGTATTCACTGATGGAGGATTTCTAAAATATGGGCTTAGTAAAACAAAAGGCAGGTGCCTATCTTTAAAAGAGCAGAATGTTCTAGTTACTCAGTAAACTGAGGAATGAAAAGTTCTTATACAGATAATTGGTATCTAATCTCATTATTTCTGGGATCTCTGAGTGTATAAATTAAATAATTGATATGTTGCAACTTCTCCTGCAAAAATGTCTACTCATTTGTCAATGGATAAAACACCTAACATTTACCAAAAGTCAAAATTAAAGTGTAGAGACAGTCAAAACAAAATAACCCCAAACCTGATTGTTAGCACCCTTTTACACCCTCTGACTCTCTACCATGATTACTGAAGAAGCAGGAAAGTACTAAAACAAGACTGAGACCCATTTTGTATTTTCCTTTGTTTCACAAATAGTCATGGCCAAAAAAAAGTTTGGTTTGGTTTGTTTTTTTTAATTTTAATCATCACCAACTGATGAGCCTATGAGTTGACATTCTTGCTACAAACAAAAAGAAAGGAAAGAAGTTAAGTATGGCTAACAGAAGAATGACTCACAGATATTCTTAGAGAGGCAAGAGTGGAGTGGATTTTATTGTTATGTCCAGGAGCAACATGAAACATTACTTTATGGGGCATATGGTCATCATACCAGAGATGAGTATTTCCAACTAAGACTACTATGGAAATAACTGCAGCTTATATACCAACATCAGTTGCTGGGGATGGACAGGTAAAGAAATTCTACAAAGAACTTAATAAGACCCTCCAAATTAAATTAACATTCTTATACTTGGTGATCGTAATGCAAAAGTGGAAAAGGGTGAAGACATGGAGAAATATATGGGAAAGTCTAGTTTGAGAAAAAGGAAGGAGAGAGGACAAAATCTAAGGATTACACAGAAGTCTCGTGCCTTTGCATCTTGGATGCTTTCTTTGAAAAAAGAAATGCAAGCATGGGACAACAGTGAGCACCGGATAATACCACCAAAAAATGAAATAAGACATATTTAACAGCAAGGCTTGTTTCTGACAAAGCACTTTTTTCCTGAATTAACTTTCTATGCACAGACAGGCCATCAAATTATCAGACCTAAGATCAGAATTTGTTTTTTTTTTTAAAGGCAAGACACAATAAATTATGGTATGCAATTTATACAACTTGATCTAGAACCATTTAAACAAGTAACTGACAAACAAAATTCAGAACCTAGACCACAGAAATCATACCGATATTGATTATAATGATTTTGTACTTTAGTTTAACCAATGTAAACTAATTAACAAAAAGAGGATAGCAAAAGAGCCCAGAAAATACCTTAGTCAACAAACATCTAACTTCCGTGCCAGACGGAAAGAGGTGACTGCCAAAGGCAGCACAGAGACAGAATATAAACTTGTTTGTCAAATCTGACAAAGAAGGATGATGGATAATTATGAGTAGGTTCATCTCATAAAGCAGAAACTGTAGAGGGTAAAACTAGTTTAAGAATCTTGGCAAGGTATCCAACTAAATAAAGTCATCCCAAGGGCATTTAAGGATGAAAATGCAAAGAGGTCAACAAACAGAAGACAAATGGATGAGATTTGTAAAAATCATTATCACAGCCTGTTTTCTCCATCAAGGATAGCAGAACTAGCACACTTAAGACTAACAGCACAATCCCAGATGTACTCATAGGGGAAGTAGAAATGATAATAAAGAGAACAAAAATGGGAAATGCAGATGAACCACATATAGAATCTTATACATAGGTATATTTGTATATGCATATATGGACATGTTTATGTGTAAATGTATGGATTTATATATTATATATAAATAATTTATGCATGCACACACACTTCTGTGTATCTTGGAAGCCATACACAAATAAAACTCATAGTAGTTGATGAAGTCATCAAGAGAATTGCAGAAAAAGAGGGCTTAGGACAAAGCCTTATCTTCCCCCAATCTACTCAATCCCCAAATGTGAACCTTTCACTCCAGCTAGAATAAACAGCATTATCAGTGTCACCGAAGAAGGCCTGCCTGTGCCTAAGTTAATGGTTTCTCCCTCACACACCTAAAATACAAGGGAATGCTCACCATTTCCAGAGAGTTAATAAATATAATTGTTTTGCCCATGCTAGTTCAATTAAGTGAGCTAATATATATGACGTGCTTTGCAAACTTTAAAGTGCTATAAAAATGCTAGTTATAAGTATATCATTAGTTGTATCTCAATCAAACCGTAACCTCCTTAAGAGATGATGTCCTATATTTCTTTTGCATCTTCTGCAATTCTCAGTACAATTCTAGGTGCTCCATGAATATCTACCCAACCAGTATTTGAATGTATAAAGTGTCAGAGAATGTGGTCAAAACTCATATAGTTCTGACGCAAAGTATTCTTTCATTTGGAGAAATCCATTTCATTATTACCGATAATTCATAAAGTCTGCCAAATACTGTATAAATCTTTCTTTAATGAATGTTTAAGTCATACAGTGATTATTATTAATGGGGCAGCATCACAGGCTTAATTACCATATGCATGATAAAAATCTTACTGAACAGAAGAGACATACAA